ACAGTGTATAATTATATATCAAACATCTTAAAAACATATATTTAGAAACGTGGTATTAGTATAAACTATTTGAGTTACTTTATCACATCAGTAATAGGAGCAATCCCGTATTCCTCCGACTAATACTAGTAAAACTGTCAAAAAATAAAAATTCGCTCATAGCGAGAGAGGAACATTGGAAAGTACGGGATCGCTTTCTAGTAAAAAATGGTAGCTTCTGTCAACTTCAACATAACCTCCAAATTTTGGTTGTAAATTTTTGCTTATTTTATACGTAAAAACACTCAGCTCACACATATAAATAACCAAAAATACCTTTAAATTGATTAGAATCCTCTTGAACAAGTAACTAAATACTTTTCAACATATATTAGCAGAGTCCACTTTTCTTTTGTTTACAATTTGGTTGCCAAACACACTACAGCTGATCGTATGACCACGATTGAGAGAATACAAAGGTTGCGCCGATCTCGGACCGCTATTCCTCTCTTAACGAATTTGACAGAGTCGTTGTTTGCATGACGTCACACTGGTGCAACTTGTTTACGTTTTCCTTGCAAAAATTTTTTCTTCTTCTTCCATTCTTGCTCACGTTTTGGCATTTCTCTCTCGCAATTGCACCAGTGTGACGTCACGCAAAAGTTATTCTCAAAAATCCTCTTTGATCGGCGCAATCTTGTATTCTATCATTCTTGTCGTATGACACATTTTTCCCAAAACTTGCCAGCAAAAAATCTTCGGACTAAAACTGGTAACTTCTGACAGAAAGAGGACCTTATTTATTATATTTTTTGTGTCCTCCCAATAGTCAGAGAACCGAGTACGGGATCGATTTCCAGTAAAATCTGACTGATTCTGACTATTTCTGACTAGTCCGGACTCGTACGGGATCGCAACTAATATAAAATAGAATACATTTGCTTGCAACTGTCACCTAACAAAGCGGCGTTAAATTTAATACAAGCGGCGTAAGTCTCTACGATCAGCTGTTTAGGCTAAGCCCAACACGTTGAGTTCAGGTAGCGTAAAACTTTTCTGCTTGAAAAAATGGCGGAAAGTTGCCAACTGTTGAGCTGAGCGGAACTACTCAACGGTGCGTTTCTAAGGCAAACATTCAACAGTTTAACAACAGCTACGTCTTAGAAACGCGCCCATTAAATAAACAAAAAAGGAACAGCCAAAATCGATGTCTTAATCAGCTGATCACAAGTGTATGTATAAAATGATTTTTTATATTAACGATCTCATAAGAATGAATTTTAAATGTTACAGAGCAAATTACATTTTAATACACCTTACGTACATACGTACCTTGGTATACAATATAAGTTTAATAAGAACAATTCTTTGTGCATACAATTGAAAAATACGTTTTTAGGTAGGAAATGACGTTTTTTTAGACCAAGAGGGACGTTTCCTCATGCCGAAGACCTGGCAACACTGATCGTGCCGTTGACAATTCAGTTATCCGCGTGTTACAAGCAAGGCATATTCAACAAGGTAGAAGTGACAATTCAGTCGAGCTCTCTCATACCTGACTGTAATGTCAAAAAATGTAAACAAAGAAATTAACCCTTTGTTATACATTTACCATATTTGATAGAACTCAACATCTTTGAAATGAAAATTTTTGTAAATATGAAAATATTTAAAATCTCATTAGAATCAGCTTCATTTTATTTATTGAATTTTCGGTTTAATGTAAATGTGGAAATGCATACTTACACAAAATTACACACTAAATGAAACACACTCATTTATAAAACCATTTTGACAATTTCCTTGTTTTTACTATCCCAGTGTTTTTGAGCATTTATTTTTTTTATTCAAATATTTAATTCTAAAGTATATTAGACATTAAAAAAAGTTTGATTCTTCTAAATTTACATCACAACTTAACTTCAATAATTTAGCTATTAAATTTTTGCTATTCGAAATTTCCTTTCCATTAAATTTATTAAAATTTACTTTCAGTTTCTTTGTGTCAACAAGGAGTACTGGTTTAGGTTTTATCAGACCACTATTTGAAATTTGGCCTATCCATGTATGTATATGAAAGGAAGATTTTCTTTTCATATTCCGTATGATAAATCCTGCACCTGGGACCAAACGCGTCCACTTAGAAATAACTCGGCTGCGATAGGCAACAAATAAAGTCATGACCACACGTGAGGAGTCTTCTAATGAAAGATCGCAGCAATTTGCCCATCGTTCTCGCTTCACTTGACAATTCGAAGGTTTAAAATAACGCACAAGTTTGTTGTCCAGGCTCTTGACAAACACAACGCACCGCTCGCAATTCCATTTCATTTTATTATGTATTTAAAATCAGTCGCACAGCTCACAATTGAAAATTTATATAAAAAAAATAAAAATTTCAATAGTATAGGGTTAAGAGTTGGCATTTCAGTCGCAGTTCATATAATAAAAATTTTAATAAAATAATAAAATNGCTTCACTTGACAATTCGAAGGTTTAAAATAACGCACAAGTTTGTTGTCCTCGCAATTCCATTTCATTTTATTATGTATTTAAAATCAGTCGCACAGCTCACAATTGAAAATTTATATAAAAAAAATAAAAATTTCAATAGTATAGGGTTAAGAGTTGGCATTTCAGTCGCAGTTCATATAATAAAAATTTTAATAAAATAATAAAATGGTCGGCCGCTGTGGTGTAGTGGTAAGCAGTGCGCGCTCCACTCCGCAACGCCTGGGTTCAAACCCTGGTCAAAGCAACATCGCAAAAAATATAGAAAAAATGTTTTTTCTTAACAGCGGTCGTCCCTCGGCAGGCAATGGCAAACCTCCGAGTGTATTTCTGCCATGAAAAACAGCTTCTCATAAAAATACAATTGCCGTTCGGAGTCGGCGTAAAACTAGGGATGTCGATTTGAGAGCAAACATCGATGTTTTTGTAAAATCGATGCATCGAAGAGTCGCATCGATGTCCCTCGATGCATCGGAACAAATACATCGATACATCGAGTAGTTCCTTATCAGCGATGTACCTAACAAAAACCCAAATTCCGAGTCACATCGAACCGCGCGGAGAAAAACAACAAGCTGCGTGCATTTTGTTTTTGCTTTTAGGCTATTAAATGTCAAAATAGCTCCTCTGTTGCTACTTGTCCGATGGTTCTAGCCAAATGCACACAATAACAGGACTATATAATATAAATATATTTCAGACCGAATTTATTGGTAAAAGAAGTTGGGAGTTGGAGATTATAAAATTAATCAATTTCTCACAAGCTTTTCATTAATCACTTAAAATTAATTGAGTGCCGTTTCCAGAACTAAAGGCAGATAAATTTTAAAAGCTACTGCCCTGGGGGGAGATTCTGTAACTAGTTAGCGACAACTTTCGGATCGGTATCGCTTTTTACAGTATCGCTGGTTACAGAATCTCCCGNAAAATTAATCAATTTCTCACAAGCTTTTCATTAATCACTTAAAATTAATTGAGTGCCGTTTCCAGAACTAAAGGCAGATAAATTTTAAAAGCTACTGCCCTGGGGGGAGATTCTGTAACTAGTTAGCGACAACTTTCGGATCGGTATCGCTTTTTACAGTATCGCTGGTTACAGAATCTCCCGCCTGAGATAGTTTTTCAATAGCTTTTTTTAAACATAGTTTTAACATTTTATATTTTCAGTCAATTTTCCAATATTGTTTGTTCAAGCATTGCAAGAACAACAATTTGTTTAAACGCTTTCTCTTTAGTCTATTCCGCTGCTGATTTAAAACTTGAGCCGCCTTAGAAAATAGCCTTTCAGAGGGCACCGAACTGCCAACCATCGTAAGATATTTATAAGCTACTTTGCATAATATGGGAAACTGAGGCTTGATATCTTTCCAAATAANATATTGTTTGTTCAAGCATTGCAAGAACAACAATTTGTTTAAACGCTTTCCCTTTAGTCTATTCCGTTGCTGATTTAAAACTTGAGCCGCCTTAGAAAATAGCCTTTCAGAGGGCACCGAACTGCCAACCATCGTAAGATATTTATAAGCCGCTTTGTATAATATGGGAAACTGAAGTTTGATATCTTTCCAAATATCGAGCGGGTTATCGTTCAGTCGACAAACTGGGCTTCTTAAGTAGACTGAAAGTTGATCCGACAGATTTTCGTCCATTTTGTTTGGCTTCCAGTTGTTGTGCAGNCTGAAGTTTGATATCTTTCCAAATATCGAGCGGGTTATCGTTCAGTCGACAAACTGGGCTTCTTAAGTAGACTGAAAGTTGATCCGACAGATTTTCGTCCATTTTGTTTGACTTCCAGTTGTTGTGCACGAGCCTTTGGTGGTCGCTCCAAAGAGAAAAACTGTTTTCGCTTCTGTCAGAGATACTAGAATCTGAGTCTGTAACATCTTCACCTTGTGCTAGATCTTTCACCATCAATTTTATTTTGTTTACGGCAGTAGAGCAAGCCAAAGGATCAGAAAAGTTAATTTTCTTAAAACGTGGATCCAAGGTGGTAGCGATTGCAAGGGGAGTTACCTATAAAACAAATTAATATTAAAAAGAATTACNAAATTACCATTTCAAGAGCTCCCATTCGTTTGGAGATTTCCTTTAAAAGGTGTTGTTGAATTTCTTTGACTAGAAGGTCATTAGTGGAAAACGACTTAATTTTTTGAACCAAGCACGAAACCATAGGAATTATTTTACTTGCGGTGCAGTACTGATCGCCAGATATTTCTTTTGTGGCTGCTTCCAAAGGACGAAGGAGCTGGATAATGCCAGAAACTGAAAACAATTCGGAGCCACTAAGCATAGCAGGAGCCGTGTTGCAACGTAGGAGAATTTCACCAATAGTGCTCTTAATAGACAGAAAACGTTGAATCATATAAAATGTACTATTCCAGCGTGTTGGCACACTTTGAATAAGCTTTGTTTCATCACTTGTTGCTTTACGTAATTTGTCGCTAGCAGTGCAGCTCTGTTTGAAGTAGGTGACTATCTCTTTAATTTTTTTAAATATGATGTTTGCTGCCTTATTGAATCGCGGATTCAGCCACTAGATTCAAGGTATGGGCAAAACAGGGTATGTGCTTTTTCTTTCCAAATGCAAGATCTATAGCCTTCACCATGTTTGCCGCGTTGTCAGTTATTACAGCTGACAACTTATCGGTTTCCACTTTCCACTCTACACACGCTTTTAGAAGCTTTTCGGCAATATATTCAGATGTGTGCCGCTCATCTAACTCATACACTCCTAGTGTCACTGAATGGAACTGCACATCAACATCAAAATGCGCCGTGATTCCTAGAAAATTCTTCATGTGCATTGTTTCTGACCATATATCCGTTGTAAGTGTCACATTTTCAACAATAGCTGTTTTATCGCGAAAAATGAAAGCCAACTCATCATATTTGGCATCGACCCACTTTGTTAATGTTGATCTACCTGCAGAAAAATTGTTAGATTAGTATGTATATTTTTATAAAATTAATTATTTAGCTCACATGGAATTTTATAGCGCGGTGCGACTATCTTCAGTAAGTCACGAAATCCCTCGTTTTCGACGATAGAAACTGGATGGTAGTCTTTGCAAATCATGTACATAAGAGCTTCATTTACTCGTAAAGTTTTTTCACCACTTGAAGGAAAAGCGTTGGCATTATTAAAACTGGAAACAATAGATGGCTGCGAATGTACATCCGTTGACTGAGGTCGTGAAGACGGCGAATAAAATGGTGTACCCGATGATGCACCTGTCGATGGCGATTTTGGAGTTCGGACTGACTTCGCTGCGGTTTCAGTCATTTTTTGTGAATCGCCTAAAACTTCTTTTTCAACAGTTTTCTTCTCACTATTTTGGTTTTTAGTTATAGCATGATATGTATCCTTGTGAACATTTCTAATATGGCACATTAAATTCGACGTGTTACCCGCCCTTTTAATAATTTTTTTTTAAGTTTGCAGATCGCATTGCCTTCACTCGCTTTCTCAAAGAAACGCCAAACTATACTTTTTGGAGGCATTGTGTTAAAATATCCTTCCGTTAAATAAATAACTTCCATTATTTAATTGTTTCACAATAAAAATGTAAAATTATAAGAACTGAGCACTTACCTGAGAACTTCACAAAATTAAAAGGACGGTATTTAAATAGAGACGTGCCTTTTTAAAAATACATCGACACCTTTACATCGATGTGTCGATACTATCGACCACGCCTACATCGAGTTAAAAATTTTAGATGTATCGAAAAAAACCATCGATGTTTTCGATGCATCGATGTTTTTTCGACATCCCTACGTAAAACTGTAGGTCCCTCCGCTTTGTGTGACAACATCAAGGCGCACGCCACAATTCGGAGGAGATGCTCGGCCAAACACTAACATATGTGTAAGCGTCAATCTATTATTATTATTATTATTAATAAAATGGAACAGGAACTTTTACTTCAATATGATTTAATACCTGGATTTAAAGCATCCAGCAATTTATTATATAAAGGATGAAAAAGCAACATTTAAATATAAATATAGCATGGCCAGTATTAAATACTAGAGGTGTCAAACTATCGATAGTCACACCATCGATAGTTTTGATAGTTTTCAGAAAAACTATCAATATTCACGATAGTCTCGAAAAAAAACTATCGATAGCGCTAAATCAGTTAGGTTGCTTTGTTTTTACAGGATCATAGTGAAATAATTATTATTTTATAAAAGATATAATTATTCAAAATTAAGTAACTGCTTAGCCAAAATACTTCCCTTGTTAGAAAGTTCAAAAACAAACACAAGTTATACAAATAAAACAGGATTTACGATTAACACATGTATGTATGTTGGCCTAAATGCGTGCATATTTGAATATGACGTCAGCATCACACTGAGAAACAAAATTTTGAATTCAAATTAAAAAATTCAGGTATTACCAACAATAGTTCGATAGTCCTACTAAACTATCGATATTTTTGATAGTATAAGAAAAAACTATCAATGAGTATTGATAGTCTAAAAAAATTTAAACTATCGATACTATCGATACTATCGATAGTGCCATCGATAGTTTTACAACTCTATTAAATACTATTATTGCTATAAAAACTGTAAGGTTAGAGTTGCGGTAGGTTTTAATAGCACAAGATATTGTGTATTCTGTCTCAAGCTCATGATCATGAAACGCAAAGTTAACTGTTTGGAAAATTAAAAGTATTTAATGAAAATCAAGGCATATTTAACAAGGTAGAAGTGACAACTAGCTCGAACTCTCTTGTAGCTAGTTATAATGTCAAAAAACAGTAAACAAACAAACCCTATGAGGTGCGCGTGCTATGTTTGCTACAAATTAGCATCAATTGAACCTCATCATGGTCACCAGGTGTAGTAATAAGAGCGAGATGAAAGATTTGACCCTATCTTATTTGAAAATTTGCCTTTAAAAATTTATACAAGATAGCCGCATGTCAGGAAAATAAAGCGAGAAAGCTTTTTTATTACTTCACCTGCCTATGTTACACCATGGAAATGCATTAGCATAAATACATAATACACATACGTAAAGTTAAAAGGGACCTACGCTCAGAAAAAAAGATTTCGAGAAAAACGACTTTGAAGTTTACCAGTTTGAGGTTTTCGGGCTCGCTGATTACGAATCCGATGTTATTTTTCCAAAATTCAAAATGGCGGATCCAATATGGCGGATGACTTTTTTAAAAATTGATCGGAATCGCTTGAAACTCGTTACTCGGGGGGTTTTTGATGTCGCTGATTACGAATCCGATGTTCGTTTTTAAATATTCAAAATGGCGAATCCAATATGGCAGAAAAAATTTAAATCCAATGAAAAACTAACATCGGATTCGTAATCAGCGACCCCGAAAACCCTCGAGTAACGAGGTTCAAGGGAATTTGATTAGTTTCAGAATAGTTTGTCAGATTGGATTTTTTTGTACTTTTTTTGGTAAAGTACCTTACTTTGAAGTGAAATTGTGAAAAAACTAATGCAGCTAGAAAGCTGCAGTTTCATTTCATTGGAAAGAGCGGCGCGTTTATTATAAGAGTTGATGAAAATGTGATAACCGATTTTTTCTGACCGTAGGTCCCTTTTAACTTTACGTGTCACATATGTATGTACGTATACTAATTTTAAGGATTACTTTAATATATTTAGCTGCATTCGCATCTTATATGCACATATATGAAACTGTTTTAAACATTTTTTGTTTCTATTCGCCCAATGTTTTTGCGCGTTTAGTTAAATATTTCCTTTAAAAAAACATCCCCACTTATAAAAAACGATTTAATGTTTTTTTCTACATACGTAGAAGAATATATCAGTGTAATTCTGTCCTGACGCGGTTATGTGTGCATAATATTGTAGGAAAATTCTCTTACTCAGTTCTGAGATTCCGTGGCTTCAGGCAACCAAGTCTTCTACCTTCGCAACTAGGCGCCTTAAAGTATCGCACCACTTTCCACACAATGCAACGCTCGTAGTTCCTGCTCCTTTTCATTTTTGTATATGTATGTATCTATAAATGCATGTGGTCGAAAAACAAAAAAAAAAATCACACAGTTCAAAACTATCTCAAAGCACAATTGAATTTTTAATTAAAATTAGAAAATGCCAACTTGAAAAGGGTTAAAAGTTATTCATCATTTGACATTATAGTCGGTGTTCAAAAGAGAGTGAAGTAAAAAAAACGCCAAATGAAAGACCAAGTGTACGTGATATTTTTGATGAACAATATAAAAAATTTAAAGAAGCTTCCAGTACAATAGAGCACGCTTCCTCAAAGTAGGTGCTGCGGCACCCTAGCGTGTCGCAAGCGCACGCCTGGGGTGCCGCTAGTGGCTAGATTACACTAGTGGTGTGGGCAAATTCTTTAAACTTACCATACACAACGCAACAGTTTGATCAAACTTCATCATGGGGGCCAGAAAATCAAAAAATTTTGTTTTTATTGTTGGTTTGTACTAGGCTATTTTGATCAATTTGGCTTATGTGCAAGAAAAAACTTTCTTCACTTTGCTGCCCGACGTTTCGCCAAACTCCTTGGCATCTTCTGAGGCGTTTTATTTGAAAAATAAACTNGGCGTTTTATTTGAAAAATAAACTATTGTACACTTAACATTTAAAACTTCCATGACCAACGACTACACTTCAGAGGAAAAACAATACCTTAGTTGACGACTTGT